GCGGACTGTTGGGTGCGTGTATCAAGATACGCATTCACTTGAAGCCGCTGATTACGAGCAGTCGACTGCGTTTAAACAGGCCTGTTAACTTCTGATGAAATTTTATGTCTTCCTAAATTGACACCTTGAAATCTCCTTACTGTATCAAGATGTAAATGTTCTTAAGACTATTTGCGTCATTATCAAGTTCTCCGAGAAATAATGAATGCCGTGATATTGCCCCTCCTCTTATGTAAAGCGATTCATTACCATGAGATTTGTTTTCAATGGCTCCCGTTTTATTTCTCCAACGCTAACGATGGATAATTTTTATGCTACGATTGAGTAACAAGTGATGTGCTGTAATCACTTCATTTAAAATTAACAAACAATTGGTTCGACGTAAGTGATGAATATATATAATTGGTGACAAAAATTATTGCGAGTACAATACTTAAATATCAAGTAAACGAAATTTATTTGGATTTCTATTACGTATATTTAATATCCATTCGATTTCGTAAATAAAGTACTTCCTCGTTTCGCGTGGAAAACGAAAACCACAGACGCGTGCACAAGTGCTGCCACCTGTCACCGCGTTCCTAGACCACAGACCAGATATATGAATAGACCTAACATGCAATGCAATTTTGTGTCCCATACTTCGAGGGCATCAGAAGCCCCCTTACCATTTTAGTGTCAATACCCGACGTTACCGATAAAGCATGAGTTTATTAGCACAAATGAAGTGTTATATATTCCATTCATATTGTGTGTATCTATATGATTTGACGGGAATAAAAATATCCGATGCTTCAGTTTAAGGTTAAGGGATAAATATGACAGTCATGAAACATGAAACGGAAAAGTATATATTTTTTCACTTAACTGCAAGACAATTTATTCTAAATGCATCGTTAATGGACATTTTATTAATGTTACTTTTTACATGTTTTTGTTTTATTCGTTTTTATATCTTGCCTTACATTTGTATATTTGTAACAGACAAATTCAGAATAGATGTAGTTCCATAAATAGTTTATCAAATCTACATGTGGGAGAATATATACACCGCTTTTATTAACATTTACATATTTATAATTTATATGGGAGTATGAATAGTGTTACTGCCTATTGTAGGAATCTTAATACGCACGAATAATTACTTTCTGGCAATCGGTACAGTTTTACATATGAATTTACTTACACGTTATTTACTTACAAAAATTTTATTTATTGCAAGTAATTAAATAATGAACGTATGTTAATATTCAGCTATGTGTCTCTCAAATTAAGTGAAATACAGAAGTTTTATTTTCTTGAAAATTAGTGTCAAAGAATGCAGCAACTGGTCAGATTAGTTTCGTAAATAAATCGAAACCCTATATCGGCACACTGTTATAGAAATCGGTATCATGTGAGAAAAATCGTATCTAACGATATGAAATGAATAATAAATAACGGTCTTAGGGATTTATACTGGAGAGCAAAATCTTTAAAAAGAACATGTCGCTTAAACAAATTAGTTAAAAATGATATTTATTTGGGGTATATGAACATCATAAATAAACGAGAGCGGTAGAACGAGCCGCGGTATCGGTGCTCTATGGGGGAGGTGAACGAGCGAGAGAGTACAGTAGAGCGTGCCGCGGTATCGGTGCTCTCCGTCGGTCCAACGCGCTACTGACGTTGCGTCACACAGTTTATTGACCTAGCCGTGTACGCGTGTACCATGGCCGTACCTGGCCGTACCATCCGATGTTTGGGTCGTTCAAGAAAGGTCGTTCAAGCCGGCAAAAACAATTCAACACGAACAAACCTGCGTACACCCAATACATAACGGCGTTAGCTTCCTCACTTTCTCGTGAGCCGTCGCG